AAAAAAAAAAGACATTTTTTTTTTTTTTCTTTTTTGGACCTCAACTGTCTCTCTCTCTTTTTCTCTTTTTCTTTCTCTATTGCAAATATTATTATTTTTTTATTATTATTTATACAACTTCTTCACTAAATTTTTTTTTGGATCGTTTTTTTCTTTTTCTTTTTCTTTTTTTATTTTGACTCCCTTCTTTATGTAATTGGAAAGATTCTATTTTTTTCTTTTTTTTTCTTTCTTTTTTCTTTTCTTTCATTCATTCTCTTGTATATTCTTTATATTAGATCTCACTTTTCTTATTTTTTCTTTTCCCCACCCACTTACCTTTTTTTTTCTTTTTTTGCTGCAAAGATGTACATATTCTTTTTACTTTTTTTCCTTTTTCTTGACTCCCTCTCTCTTTCTTTCTCTTTTTCACTCCTTTATACATAGTCTTTTTTTTTTTTTTTTTTTTTTTTCCTTTTCCTTTGCTTTTATTATTATTTTTCTTTTTTTTTTCTTTGTTTGCTCTAGTTTTCTCTTTTCTCTCTTTTAGGATATCTCTCTCAGAGAGTCCCTCATCCCCCGAACACCTTTTTTTTTTTTCTTTCCTTTTCAATTGATTCACTTTATATTTCTCTTCTTGTTTGGTACACTTTTCTATAATAATAATTTTCCTTTTTTTCTTTCTAGTTTGTTTGTTTGTTTTTGTTTGCCTTCTGTAGGTGTCACTCCTCTTTTCTCTAAAGAAAAAAAAAGGGGAAAAAAAAAGAAAATATATCTTCTTAATTCCCACCTTATTTTTTTTTTTTCCACAATCGTTTCTACATTGCATCACTTCACCTATTCCCATCTTTCCTCTTCTTTTTTTTTTCTTTCTCTTTCTTCTTATGAGTTTAGCTGGCATGCCCATAACTCATACATACATACATACAATGAAAGAGATTTAGATAGATAGATAGATGGATAGAAAGGGAAAGAAAGAAACAAACACACACACACACAGAGAGAGAGAGAGGAGGGAATACAGAAACAAGGAAAAGAGTGAATATATATATATATATATTACTCACCATCTCTAACTCTGGATTCACCATCACCCCATATATATACGACTATGATTTGACAATGATTTGGAAGATATCACATCCACGCAAGACCTGCACAAGAAAGTTGTGATGTTCACAGAGAACCTCCACATACTTCTGCAGTGCGGGATTCACAGTGAGTTCCTCCTCCGGCACATCTGGGAACTCCACACGCGCCTCGTGTTGAATCTGCATAGCGCGATTGCCCAACACCTCCCGCAGATGTGAAAGGGAGTGTAGGGAGAATCCAGCCACATCCAGAATCATATCTCCCGCCTGGAATTGCAATTCCTCCTCTTCCACCTTTGGCAGTGGACGGGCAATACTCGTCACCTCGAGATTCTTATTAATACTGCAGCCGAGAATACCTTCAATCGCCAATGCCGCTGTTGGGCCGTGTTCCATATCTTCTAAGGCGAAGGTCATGTAATGGAATGGCTTTGTTTGCCGCGGAGTGCCAATAGTTGTGCGGCGACGGCGTTGTGGACTTTCGAGATCCGGCGCCGGTGAAAGTCGGGCATTCTCAGCGAGTAACACATCATGAAGTTCCGAGTCAAACAATTCCATAAACATCTCCCATGCATCCTGTTCATCTGTGAGAATACCTTTACGATAGAATTGCTCTTCATTTGTTAACTTTACAAGATGATTACGTTCCTGACGACGTCGCTCCAACATGGCACGGTTTTGTTGTACAATATCATCTAACATCGCAATATGTTCATCCAACTCATTTAATTCAATCTCATTACGGGTCACATCCTCTGTCGTGACAATATACTCACGCTGGAAGAGACGACGACGACGTTCTTCATCATTGCAAAGTTGTTCACGCTCCATTGCTTCTTCATTCAGTAAAGCTGCCCAAGTCTCTGGAGTAATAGCAGCACCACGGGATCGTGATTGAGCATCCAACGGTGCTTTACTGCCGCAGACAAGATCTATCCGCTCCTTCATTTCATCTGCTGTAATCATCATACGTACAGTCATTTCATCACCCACGAGAGCCTCCATCTCATCTTGTAAAGCTTCAACAATAAAACCATTAATATTAGCATAAATATGGGCTCTTTGTTTGGCTTCGGCTTCAATAAGGCGTTGTCGTCGCATTCGTTCATCTACTTCCGGTTGTGATGCTGTCTTGAAATGACGAAGTGGATTCATAACAAGATCCAAAACAAGAATCTCTTCTTGTTCCTGTTCCATAATACGAGCCCGACGTTCCTTCTCCATTACCAACATACGTACAATAGCCAAATTACGACGTTGTGCTTGAGCAATAGCCTGTGATTGTCGGGCATAACCAACTTCCACCATAGCACGTTCAAGGTGTTCCTTCTCTTCCAATGCTTGTTTAGACATGGCAAAGGTATGACGATGATTAAGATCTCCATCAAATACCATATTTTGTCTTTCTTGAGCTTCCGCCAGTACAATTCTACTGCGTCTGTAGGCTTCATTCTCCTCCAATCGATCCAATTGCTGTTGTAGACGTTCCAATTGCATAGCCATATGTCTTCTTTCCCTTTCATATAATAATTCTCGTTCACGTTGTTTACCTCTTTCATCATTGCGTCGAAGAATATCACGTGTTCGATCATCTGGACCCATTAACAAACTGTCTGGGTTCGTTTCATCTTCACTTCCAAGTGCCACAATATCATCCTCTAATCCACGTAAGTAAGATGAAGAACTTCGGTTGGCAACACGAGGGGATACTCCTCTTGAACCAATACGAGATCCATGACGACCTCCTCTTAAAGCTGGATTCACAGAAGTATCCTCACCATTAATATAGTGACGAAGTTCATAGAATCGTTGTAAGAAATAAAATGGCTGAGTACTGAAACGACGTTCCAGTACTTCACGTGGTAAACTATCACGATTGTGGTATATTTCCGCAGTAACACGTAATCCTGGTTGATCAACTGAAACACTCGTAATAGTCACAAGACGACGTGGAAGTTTCAGTGTTAAACAAACATCTATCAATGCGTTAAAACGTACATCCGCTTCACGTCCAGGGTAAAGTAGATGCCATTCATCTCCATAAATGTATCGATCCAGAATAGCAGTAGAATATTCCACCTCTGTAGAAGGAGCAGGAACAGGAGGAGTAGGTTGATGAACCTGAAGTTGTTGTTGATTTGGACGTGGTGCAAGTGCAACTTGTCCATTTCCAACCATTGGATTAGAATATCTGCTTCCTTGAGAAACATCACTTCCTTGTGGTTTACTTTGATTTAATGGATGGACAAGATCACTCATAGGGTACTTGTTAAGAGATTCACTTCTTCTCGCTCCTCCTTTATCACCATTCTTATGGTTTATATGATTCTCACCAGTAATCCCAGATCCTTGTGCATGAAGACTGCGAATAGAATTAAATTCTTTCATCTCAGACGCACCACGCGAAGGTGAGGGTTGAGTTGATTGTCCTGCGGATCGACGAGTAATAGACTCCAACTTTTCTTCCGTTTCACGACGCAGACGATCCAATTCACGTCTCTCACGATCCAATTCACTCTTCTCTCGTTCCACATCTCGTCGGGTACGCTCCGCCTCACGACGGTCAAGTTCCGCCTCACGATGAAGTTCCTCCACCGCACGCAGACGTTCCTCAATTTCACGCAAACGTGAAGATTCCTCCGCAACACTTGAGTGAAGTGTACGACGTGGGGAACGTGGGGAGACGGCACTCGTCGGTCGACTGAAAGAACGACTCATAGAGGCACTGCGAGAACCACCACGTGCACGAGGGCCAAGGAGTTTAGCTTCCTCCACAAGGTATGCCTCGTGAACCAACTCCTTATGTAGATACTGCATAAAATGTAGACGATGGTGCATAAGTTTCATCACATTACGTAAAAGATACTGATACTCTGTACGATTTTTACCCGATCGCTGTGTGTTTGCCGCAGAAATTCTGTCTCCAGCATATGAGTGTGGTTGGCTGTTGACATATAACTCTCGTTCTGCATCCACATCACGTCCATTATAACGTGCCGGACCAGACGCAGTAGGCACTTCACGAGTCATATTTTCATTCATGGCTTTGTTTACCCCAAGAGGATCTCGTGGGGTACCACGTCCACCATCTCGTGTAGATCCTTTAGGTGTACGTGCTCCACTTGCTGTATCCAATTCCCGTCGACTATCGGTGGGATTACTGCGAGCAGGAAGTCCACGGCTGTGATGGCTGCTGCGGGGTGTATTTCGTCCATCTTGAGATTCACGTGGTGTTCCAGCCCCTCGTTCACTGTCTTGTACTCGAAGGTCAGCAAAACGATCATTTTGGCTTTCACGAAGGCTGCGTGGTGTACGTGCTCCACTTGCTGATTCCAATTCCCGTCGACTATCGGTGGGATTACTGCGAGCAGGAAGTCCACGGCTGTGATGGCTGCTGCGGGGTGTATTTCGTCCATCTTGAGATTCACGTGGTGTTCCAGCCCCTCGTTCACTGTCTTGTACTCGAAGGTCAGCAAAACGATCATTTTGGCTTTCACGAAGGCTGCGTGGTGTACGTGCTCCACTTGCTGATTCCAATTCCCGTCGACTATCGGTGGGATTACTGCGAGCAGGAAGTCCACGGCTGTGATGGCTGCTGCGGGGTGTATTTCGTCCATCTTGAGATTCACGTGGTGTTCCAGCCCCTCGTTCACTGTCTTGTACTCGAAAAGCATCATAACGATCATTTTGGCTTTCACGAAGGCTGCGTGGTGTACGCAATCCACTTGCGACTTCTTGTTCCCGTCGACTATCGGTAGGATTACTGCGTGCAGGAAGTCCACGGCTGTGATGGCTGCTACGGGGTGTATTTCGTCCATCTTGGGATTCATGCGGTGTTAGCACCTCACGTTTACTCTCATGTGGTCTGGAGGAAAAGGAGTGGGTGGAGGCGGTTCCAGCAGCGGCGGCAGCAGCAGCAGCAGCGGGAGCTGTGGCAGCGGATGTAGAGGCTGGAGGAGGAATAGGAGAATTGCGGCTTTCACGAAGGCTGCGTGGTGTACGTGCTCCACTTGCTGATTCCAATTCCCGTCGACTATCGGTGGGATTGCTGCGTGCAGGAAGTCCACGGCTGTGATGGCTGCTGCGGGGTGTGTGTCGTCCATCTTGAGATTCACGTGGTGTTCCCGACCCCTTTTCACTGTCTTGGATTCGAAAAGCGGCAAAACGATCATTTTGGCTTTCACGAAGGCTGCGGGGTGTACGTGCCCCACTTGCTGATTCCAATTCCCGTCGACTATCGGTGGGATTACTGCGTGCAGGAAGTCCACGGCTGTGATGGCTGCTGCGGGGTGTACCAGGATTATCAACTGATTTATCCAATGTGAGGATCTCTCGTTGACTCTCCTCTGGACGATTTGAACCAGCCCCAGTGATACCACGAGCTTGTTGAACATTGCGTGGGGTATTTGCATCACTTTGGGTTTCCAGTTCTCTTCTGCTGTTTATTGGAAAACTTGGCGATTTTCTTAAAGAACGTTGGATATTGGAGGCAGTGGGTGATATTTCATCCCCACCAGGTAAACTGCGGCAGCTGTGCATAATATCACTTTGCTGATCTACTGCATTTACTGCTCCATCACGGTTTCGGCTGCCGAGACTTGCAATACTGGAAACAGATGCACTCTCGCGATGAGATCGTGGTTTATGCAAAACTTCTTCTGTTCGCGAAGTAACAGATGGTGTACCTCCAAGTGGATTTATGGAATTCAACTCGGATGTGGCGTTCTCCGCATTACGGGCGAGAAGTGCCTCCATGCAACGATCACAATCTTCTGGTTTTGGAAACTCCAATCGCAGTCGTGTCCATGTTGAAGGACTGTCGAGTTGCTGCATTTTATCCACCTGCCGATCATCCTTTGGTGTTCGCGTGTACAGTCCAGTGGAGGTGGAGCGGGAGGTGGCGGTGCTGCCGCCTGTAGTCTTCAGTGGGGCAATGCCGGCACTGAGGGCGGCGTTGATGAAGAGATGATCCGAGAGACTCATCAACAGAAGTGCATTGGAGGATCGAAAGACTTCACTGCGTTGTCGGGCAAAGCGAAGAAGTGGCACAGAGCAAACACCAATGAAAAGTGGCTCCTCATCGTTCATATCACATATTTTAAATACAGAGAGAGTTGTGCGGGTGATGGTGATGCTGCCGGGTAACAGCAATGAGCCATTCTCCGGCGCCAGTTCAACAGCCAAACTCACAGGGTAGTCCTCTTCCATCCTTCTCGTAGTATTAGTAGTATTATTTATTATTATTATATTCTGTGTTCCTCTTGCTGCTGTACTTCTTGTTTTTATTGATTCTGTATGATAATGACGCTCTTGTTCTTCTTGCTTTTTCTTTGTTTGTTGTTATTGATGATAATGATAATAATAATAATAATAATAATAATAATAATAATAATAATAATAATAATAATAATAATAATAATAATAATAATATGATTGATAGGGGTTCACGTACTTCTTCTTCACTCTCCCCTTTTTCTTTTTTCTTTTCTTCTTTCTTTTTCTTTTTTTTTTTGTTGTTTCTCTGTTTCCTTCTTTGATTCTCTTATTTGCTCTCGATTATTCCCCTGAAATTGTTTTCTCTTTCTTTCTTTTTCTCTCACTCAATATAAATCGCTGTTAATCGATCCAATTGAGCTTTTTTTTTTTGTTTGTTTTCCAACACGCGGAATGAGAAAAGAAAACACTCGGGAAAAGGCAGATGGAGACCGTGAAGGACTACTAACAAGAACAATAACACCAAAGACGATGATGATAATGAAGTTGAGATGATGAATGATGAGGTCCCTCGACAAATACAAATATACAAAATTGTGAGTTTCGGCCGGCGATACCTGAGTTTGGGGAGGCACACGGTGGATAAAAATAAAATAAAAAAACTACAGATGAATGAGAGAAAGAGGTGTAAAAATAAAAAATAAAAAAAAAACTACAAAAATAATATAAGGGGTATAAACACAACCGTAAGAATTTGTTTATATATATAAATATACGATCTTTACTTGTAAAGTTCCGTATACTTATTACAAATTCTGTTGTTGTGGTTATCTAATAATATCCCTCTAATATTACTTTGTTTGTTTTTTTTTTTTTTTCCTTTTATTCTTTTTGTTTCCACTTCTTTCCTCTTTGTTCACTATATTCCTCTGTTTGTTTGTTTTTCTTTCCCTTTTTCACTTCTTTTCCCTCTTAATTTCACTGTATTTGATGCTTGTATCTTTTTTTCCCCCTTTTGTTCCTCTTTTCTTTTCTAATATCCAAGTAGTGACTCTTCCCTCCTCTCTACTTTTATTTTCACCCTTTGATGTGCTACCGCTGTTTTGTTTTTCTTTTTTATCTTCTCACAATGTTTCTTCTTCTATACAAATATATATATATATACTTGTAGGGTAAATGTATTGGTCCTCTACACTTAGTAGCTATACTTTTATGTGGAAATACAGATATATATATATATGTGTGTATTGTAAGAAAAAAAGAAAAGAAGAGAAGTAAAGAAATAAAAATAAAAAATAAGTGTATAATTTATACATAAAGAAGCAAGAGAATAACCTTAAATACATATATATATATATATACTTAGATATTTATTTACTAACAGAGAACAGCATTCATCCATTAAATCACTTTATTAGATGAAATGAAACATTGGTACAGGAAAGCAAATAAAGAGAGAGAAAGAGAGAAAAAAAAAACAACCGTAAGGACTAGTAGAATCAAGAAAAAAAACTCTAAAATTGATAATATATTGCCGATCAACTTAAACCGTACTCAAACACAATGGAAAAAGGGAGAGAAAAAAGAAAGGTGCAGTGTGTCACAGCAAAAGAAAAAGAGACTAAAAAAAAAAAAAAAGAAGAGATCATTAAATAATAATAATAATAAT